ACTCTGCTCTGCTCCTGAGAGCGGTAATAGTATCAACATCTTCCCCTTACTCAGGACTTCTTCTGGGCTAAGTTGCTTTTGTGCGTAATTATCTGTATTATCCCCATTCTACAAAAGAAGCTCGGAGAGTTTAAGGAAATTGCCTAGTGTGACACCATTAAAAAGTTCCAGAGTCGGCGCATTTGAAGCCAGCTTCTTAACCATGGTGGGCTACTGCCTGGGGCTCCCTGCGACCTTGGGCAAGGCACTTTCCCTCCTTGGCCTTCAGTCTCTCTGTCTGTAAAACAATGGAATAGAATAAATGAGTCCCATGGGCCCTTGTAACTTTCTTGACTGGAGTTCAGAATTGCTTCTGTAGTAAAGGGGTTGAGGGGAGGGGTTGAGGAGCCTGGTGGAGGGGGACCCAGAGACCTGTCCTGGATCTGTGTCCTCGACTAGCCTGGGCAAAGTGGTAAAAAGCACAGGCCTGTCGCGCCCCCACCTGTTCTGAGGTGCATGTGAGTGTTGAGCCAGTCAGTGCAGGTGATGTGTCTCTAGAGGCGGCCCATGGCAGGTGGCAGCTCTGAGTGTTTGGTAGAGGGCAGAAGACTGTCTCCTCACAGTCCATTCATTCAGTCATTCAGCAAAAGTTTGTTAAATACCTCCTATGTGCCACACACTAGTCTAGATATTGGTGACACAGTGGTGCCCAGAACAGCTTTAACTCCCTGCCTTCGTGCGACTTAGTCCTTGAAGAGGGGTATGCAGAACAAAAAAAAAAAAAAAAAAGGTTTTTTCAAAAAGTACCATATACAGTATTTTAGATAGTGGTAAGTGCCAGGAAAAAAATGAAACCGAGAAGGGGAGAGGTAGCGCCCTTGGGGGGCTGGAAGGAGACTTACAGGAGCTGAGGTCAGGAGATCTAAGGGAGAGTCGTGGATGGACCAAGGTGGGCCATTTTCAGGACCGTCCTTGGCGTTTAATAAATCAGTGTGTCCACAGTCAATACTCAGATTCCTGTGGGAGGTACCAAAATCTGTCTCCTTGTCACTGGTTTCACCTGCAGCCGTATCTTCACTGTCTGGCAGATCCAGGGCTGTCCTTGAGATCCCCAGCCCAGTACTCCAGGGTGCTGAGGGGTCTTGAGGGATCTAAAAATAGGAAGTAGCAAAGGTCAATTTGGAAAGGTGCTGGGAGAAATGCTGCTCCCAACCCAATGCAGAGCAGCTGAAACCCAGGGCGGGGCCCTCGAAGCTGGGGCTTCACGCCACACTTACTGTTCCAGCTGATTGCATCTTCTGCCTGGGTGGGTGCACAGGGAAGGTGGCTAGGGGAACTTTAGCTGGCCACACCCTAAGGCTTCAAAGTTGGGAGTTAAGGCCAGGAGGAATCTTTGAGAACCAAGTGGGAGAGAGAAGTCAAGCCTGGGGTGTAAGATGTCTTTGCTTTGGAACAGTCTCCTCTCCTCGGCTGGGTTTTATATTATGTCTGTTTCCCCTTAGAGCTTAGCTGCGAAGTTCTTTAGAAGGACCCACAGACTGGTCTTCTGGGAAGTAGGAAGGAAGAGGACTTGGGCCCACAATGCAGCACCTTGGGAGGGTCCAGGAGCTCAGGGTTCATTAGCAGGTCTTGGAGGGAGTAGGCACTCTTAAGACTGGTTAGACCAGGGAACTGACCAGGATCTTTTTTTTTTTTTCTTTTTGTCTTTTTTTTTTACTGACCGGTAACGGGATCGCAACCCTTGGTGTCACGCCCGTACAGGGGACCGGCAACGGGATCGCAACCCTCGGTGTTGTGTCCGCACCGCGCTCAGCCAGTGAGCGGGAACCAGTCTCCACATGGGATCCGAACCTTCGGCGGGAGCGCCACCGCGCTCCCAAGCGGCGCACTCTCCAGTGCGCCACTGGGCCGGCCCATGACCAGGATCTTAATGGGGGAGGTGGAGGTAGCGGGGTGGTGGGAGGAGTGGTTACAAGTCCTGGAATTCAAAAGGGGGCAAGTGACAAGATGAGGAAGGGAAGCTGGGACAGTGTGCTGCAGACAAGAAATTTTGTTCCTGAGAACATCTGTCTGGGTTAGGAAGTGCCAGGGGACTTGTTCCAGCCAAACCCAGGCTCCATGCTCCTGTGCCCTAAGGCAGGTGCTGCGAGGGCCTCAGATTCCCCTACTGTAAAACAGGGAAAGAATACTGGTTCAGTCTGTTGTTGTTTGAGAGGATTAAATGACACAACCAACTCTCCCAGTGCTAGGTGCTAGGTAGGTCCTGCAGTAGACGAAGGCCTATATTTGGGAAGGCCCAGATTGGAAGGGAGCAGTGGTGAGGACAGGAGGATACAGGGGTGGACTCCACCCCTACTCAGTCATGCCAGGGCCCCTCTGCCTGGGCTGATGTGAGGAAACACAATGGGGGTTCTGACTAAGGGGGTGGCTGCTGCCCAGGCCAGCTAGCTGAGTGTGGCCAGGGCCCAGTGAGAATTTGGGACCAGAGTTGCCTGATCTACCACTGCTTCAAGAGAAGTGGGGAGTATGGGTCTGTAATATAAAATCTTCTGGTTCTAAAACTTTGGGAATCATTAACAAAACAACAACAACAACAAAAACACCATGCAGGCCAAGCAAAGCCCACCACCTGGCTGGCGACCCCTGCTCCAGTGCAAAGGTGGCACTGGGGGCAGGGCCTCCGCTGGCTGCTGCAGGTCTCTCCTGGGAGAAGGCTCCTCCTCAGTCTCCCGCTGTTGGAAATGGGCTCTTGATAGACTCAGCTTCATGGGACCACTGGGAGAACAGAACCGTCTTGCTGGGCTTTGTGGTCCTGAGCAAACCCCTTCTCCTCTCCGGGCCAGTTTCCTGACCTGTGAAAGGACCTGATCTGTAGGGCTCCCGCCGGTTTGGACAGTGTGTGACTAAGTCTCTCAGGCTTGAGGGAAGATGCAGTTATTATGGAAGTGACTCTTCCTGGGAACTGTACTTCCCGATTGGATGCGCTCAGGCATTTTGAGTGTCCAGATTCACAACTGTGTTTGTGAATGTAGGTGTGTCATAATTTGGAGCTTTGCATGGCACAGTGTAAATATAATCATTTTAATAACCCTGTCCTGGAACCTTTCGTGGGGTGCTCTGGAAGCTGAATAGGAAGCCCTAATTAATTCTTCCAGTGACCTGGGGAGGGCAGGGTCCGTCTTCCCCAATTGCAGTTAGGAAACCCAAGCCCAGAACTAGCTGGGAAGTGACTTGGCTAAATGTGCACCATTCAGGGCCCTGACTCGAGTGTTGGTTGCATGGTAGTGTGTGGGGTCCCTCATTCAATGGGCGAGAATCATGTTAGGATTTGAGGGTCTGCTCTGTGCCCATCACAGTCTGAGCTGCGGGGAAAGGGACGGGGGATTGATTTTTCTCTGGGAGGACAGCATATGAGCCCAGGCTGCCTCTCCGGGCCTTTTGTCAAAGCCCCTCCATTTCTCGCTGTCCTCTCGAATTTCTCGTCCCCTCATTCCCCTGGCCTGCAGCACTCGGAGCCTGGAGACGAGTGAGCGCCCAACTCTAACACGTCCTTTGCAGGGCGGCGCATACTCGCCCTCCTCGGCCTTTGCCGGGGGCCGGCTGCTTTGGCTGGAGAGGAGAACCCCGCGGGAGGGAGAGGAAGCTTTGGGTCGAGGAAACCCCCACTTTTTGTGCGCCCTCCTCTAACTCCTGCCCCTCGCCCGGGCTTTCCAACTGTGCCCCGAACTGTATGAGAGTGTCGCTGTCCGTGTGCGCTCCCCGGCCCCACGCGTGAGACCGCGATCCTGCGAGGCGCTCCTCGGCGGCTGGGGGACTGCGTTTCCCGGCTGCGGCCCCCAGCGTCCCCGGACGCGCAGGACTCGGGCCCTTTAAATCCTCCGGGGCGGCGGCGACACACGCGCGTTCGCGCTCGGGCTGTGGGGGCCGGTCCGGGCGCCGCCCGCTCGGCCCGGCGAGGACAAAGGCGCGGCTGGGGACGAGGAGGAGGGGGCTGTTATTTTGCAGGCTTGCCTGGGGGGCCCCTGTCCGGCCCGCCTTCGCCTCCCCCAGCTGGACCCTTTAAGGCCCCAGCCGGCCGAGGCGGCCACCCCGGCTGTGATTTGGGGGCGCTGAGGGAGGGGGGCCCGGGACTGGGGCTCCGGGGGCACCCGCTGCTGTCGATCCCGGCCAAGCCCTGGGCTTCTGTGGGTTCCACCGGACAATCAGCAGCGCCCCCCGTCCTCTCTGGGCCCGGGTGCCACGGACCTGGGGGGTCAGCAGGGCTGCTCCCGCATGTTGGGTGGGGGCGTTTGGTGATCCTAAGGTGACGGGGTGTGTGGTCACCCAGGCCACCGATGTTGTTTTCCTTTGTGGAGAGGAAGAAAGGGGTGGGGGTTATTTATCAGATCGGATTCTCCGCTGCTGTGTGTGAGAAATTCATGTTTTGCAAGTCTCTGTGTAACGTAAAACTGTTTGTGACCGAGTGTCCTTAGAGAGAGGATTCCCAGGCTCACCGGAGTACCCAGACTCGAAGTGGGGTGAGCCCCCTCCCCAACTTTTCCCTTAGTTTTCTTGCGTGTCTTCTTCTTGGCATAACCTCCGTCAGGGGGAGGGATTTGGGGAGAGAGAAGAGGATAGTGTCTGAGTTGCTTCCAGTAAATGCCTGCGTTGGGCTCTCCTGTGCCTTGGTGTCTAGGATGTCCCTTCAATTTCGATTGTAATGGTCCTGTGAGGAGGGCCCTGGCCCTGGCACTGGCCCTGGTTGGGGGGGTCAGGGAGTGAAAGAAAACTGCCCGTGTGCTGTGCTGGTTGGTAGTGTGCCTGATTTCCTTAACCAGCTGAAACTCCTGAATCTTCATGTCCGCCTTTTTGTTTCCCCCCACTTTGTTTATCAACCCTCCCCTCCCCCCCATGGGAGAAACAGCAGAAGAACTGGGAAGCCTCTCCCATTCCTGAATGAAGCCTTTCTCTGCTCCTCCGGGAGCTTTTGGGGGGATAGTGCTGGGACAGTATAGGCTCTCCCTGTAGCCCTGGCCCCCAGGATGTGGAGGAGAGACTGGGGGTCTGGGTGACAAGGGGTCCTGCAGGGCTCATTGCACCCCTCTCCTCTTCTCTGCAGACAGCCCGGTGAGTGGGGAGGGGCTGGGGGTCATGTGCAGTATATTTATGTAAGACACCCAGACAGAGGGCACGGGTATTTATATAACCCGGCCTGGGTATTTATGTAATATAGGATGCCAGTATATTTATGTTCCTTTCCTAACCTGCGGCTTTCCCGGCTGCTATGTGTGGTCTCTGAATTGGTGTTGGCAGAAAACGGATGGGGGAGGGGGCTGTTTGTGTGTACTCACCCATGCCCCCCCACCCCAGCAGGGCTCTCTGCCGGTATATTTATGTTCCTTTCCTAACCTGCGGCTTTCCTGGCTGCTATGTGTGGTCTCTGAATTGGTGTTGGCAGAAAACGGATGGGGGGAGGGGGCTGTTTGTGTGTACTCACCCATGCCCCCCCACCCCAGCAGGGCTCTCTGCCTGACGTTCTTTCTTCCCTCGGAGTGTACACACTTGGGAAGCTGGACAGTGTGTGTACGTGGGGTGTATGGCCTGTGGGTTTCCTGCGAATGTGGAGTGTGTCCTGCTGGCAGGCACGCCACCTCAGCTGGGACAGGCCAGGCATGTGGACAAAGGCCCTTGATTGCGAGTTTGGCTGGCACCGGGTGGAGGCTACTTCGCTGTGGTTATTGGCGAAGGGCTAGTGGTGGTTGCCTGGGTGCTGGGGCTGCGATGTCTATCCTGAGCAGGAGCTGTCGGCTCCCTGGCTCTGTTGGGGCACAGAGCTCAGGCCTGACCATCTGTAGATCAGTGTCTCCCAGCTCCCTTTCCAGGTGGGCCTGGCCCTCGGGGTAGCACTTGGCTTGGGGAAGGAGCAGGGTCCCTGTGCCAGCACAGTGCTCTTCCATCTCCCTGTTCTGCCTCCCAGCCCTGGCATGAAATACACCCTATTTCTGAGGGTGGGAGGCCTCCAGGTGGGGTGGCAGGAACCCTGTCCTAGGGTCCTAGGTGAGACTGCCACTGACCTGCTGTAGGGTGGCATAGGGCAGGTGGTGTGGTCTCTCTGGGCCTGTGTTCCCTGTCTGCAAAAAGGAGTCCCCTCTTGACAGTCTTCTGCCTTGGCTCTCTTGGAAACACTCTGAGATCTCAGGGATCCCCCTCTCTCTCCCTATTTCATGGTCCACTGTCACCCCAACAGGTGAGACTGCCTCCAGGACTTTGAGTTTTCTCCTCAGCTGGCCAGGGGCACAGAGTGCCCAGACCTTTGCCCCAGGCCAGAACAGAAGAGTCAGTACCAGGTTTGCCCAGGCCCTGATGTCCCATGGCCTTAGGGCACTCAGGGTAGGTCACAGGAAGGAGGGAAGCTACTCAAATCAGAACACCTCCCACCCCACAGAACCTCTAGCTACCCACTGGTGGCTATAAACCTGGATTTTGTCCCCTCAGTTGCTCCAAAAGGGCCCTCTTGGGAGACCCTCCCTTCTAGTCCTAAAGGAAGCCAGCTCCAGGCGGTCCATCCAGAAAGAGATGTGCATAGAGGCCTGTGTGAGATTCTTAGTGTCACTAGGTAGAGGGGAGAGGTGGGGGGAAGATGATGGGAAGGTAGATGTTCTAAGGCGTCCCTTTCCTGCCTTCTCCCCATGGGGGATGAGTTCTTTCCCACAGAACACTCTGGGAACTGGCAAGGTCAGGTCTCCAGTTCCTGGCAGTAGAAGTATAGGGTGGGATGGGTGTGGGGGAACCCTGTCATTTCATCTTGGAGGTTGGGACTTGCTGGTGGTTGCCATGACAGTGTTCCAGGACGGTCAGCTCCAGCATCACTGCTCTCCATCACCCTCTTTGTCCTTGATTTTCCTTTCAGGGTCTTGGTCCATTGTGACCAGCCTCCCACTTGAGAGGCTCCTACTGGAGGGCCCCCGAATGAGTGTCCCCCAAGGAGATGCTTGCTTGGCTGTTTGCTCTTGGGCCTTGTCTCTAATTTCACCTTATGCGGGCTAAGCTGAGACCTGTTCTGAACCTGCCTCAGCTGCTCCCCAGATGTGTTGGAGTGGGGGCTGTTGGGCTACCTGGCACCTGGTTGCCCTCAGGCAGAGTGAGGCCAAATCTCTTCCTGGACAGTGGGAGGGAGAGTGTTGGCCTCCCGAGTTCCTGTGGCTTTGCCTGGCCTTGGTGGTAGTGCGGGGTGGCGGGCGGGGGCGGGGAATGGTTCAGCAGGCTGGGCTCTCTTCCAGCCCCCCATTTCTCTGACCCCAGTGCTCCTGCTTCCCACTGCAGCAGGAGTGAGTCATGGAGCTGCGCGTGGGAAACAAGTATCGCCTGGGACGGAAGATCGGCAGCGGGTCCTTTGGAGATATCTACCTGGGTAAGTGTTCCTAGCTCCAGCCAGAACCCCTGGGACTTCCCTGGGGACAAGAAGGAGGAAAGATCCCAGGATTTGGGGGATCTGAAGCCAGAACTTGGCTCCAGTGGCATGTGTTGCCCCTGGGGCCATCCCAGATGGGGTAGGAGGCAGCAGGTTGGGGCCGAGGCAGGCCAGTGGCCCTCCTCTCACAGGCAGGACCAGGCTGGGCTCCTACTTGCTGCAGGCTGGGCCAAGGAGGGTATTTTTAGCTCTGATTTCCAGCTGCAGCTGACCTGGGTCTCCAGCTGGGCGTGGGAAAGCCCAGGCTGGGTTGACATCCCCTGTCTCTTGCCTCCTGGGAGAAGGATGCGGCTGGTAGAGAAGAGGCCTGGGCTACCGCTTGACCCCAGCCAGGCCCTCTCCCTGTGGTCTGGCCTCCTGGAATGTGGCCCTGGCAGGCTCAGTAACCTTGTGGAGGGGGATCTCCTCATTTAGGGATTTCTCTCTGTCTCCGGATGTGCTTCCTGTTGAAAGTTTGAGTTTGCCCTGATGTTGTCATTTTAAATAAATTACCGACATTTCAGCCCAGTGGGGGGCACAGTCATGAGTCCTGGCCCTTCCTTTGCAATTGTTGGTCTGTAAGGGAGATACTTAGTTTTGGTAATTGTGGATTGAAGGGTGGGGGCTTGGAGTTGTTGGAGCTAGATGGCAAGCCCCTGTGGGGCTGATCCTCGTTCCTGTTCCTGTGCTCTCAGGAGCAGGCTAGAGCCGAATATGTGCCTCTGTTTCTCCCCTTGGAAAATGAAAATAAATCAGTTCTGTCCTGGGTAGAGACAGGTGCTGTGTTTATTAATTCAGCGCTTGGGAGTTTCTCTTACCAGAGGTGAGGATTCCTGCCCCCTATGGAGTATGAAATGTGCTTTGCAGGGAGCTGCAGAGGGGACAGGGAAGGGGATGCACACGTACATTCCCTGAGCACTTACCTGCAGGGCCCTTCCTGAGCGTGGCCTCCCCTCGCAGCAGCCCCTAGAGATGCCAGGTTATCCCTGTTTCACACATCAGGAAACTGAGTGCAGCATGGTCAAGTTGGCCTCCCAAGGTCGCTCTAGAAAACTAGCAAATGTGGCCTTTATACCCGCAGCCCTCCATACAAGCAGGAGAGTGTAGAAGACAGAACGTGGGAGGGAGACATTAGACACATCCGGGTTCTAGGCCTCGCCTCATGTGGCTGCTTCGTTTCTGTGATCCCAGCTGTAAAGTCTGTGTGATGCTGCCTGACTGACCAAGAGCTGTTGTGAGGCACACATGAAGTGGATGGGAAAGCGTTTTGTAAATTGTGAAGTGCCAGCCGAATGTGCAGCTCATTCTTAACGGTTTTCTCTGACCCCAAGCCCCTCCAGGGGAGGTAGGCATTGGGCATGTCCACCCTTTCCCCAGTGCCAAGCATGTGGCATGCCCGCAGGGGTGTTCACTGAAGACTTGTCAAGTGAGCAGAGGAGAAAGTGGGGACTGTAATACGCAGAGGCCTGTGAAGTGGCCTCACTGATGGCAGGATAGAAGGTGGTTGGGATTTGGGTGTCCAGTCCAGGTTTAGGTCTCCAGTCTATTTCTCATTTGCTGTGTGACCTGGGGTAAGTCCCTTTCTCTCTTTGAGCCTCAGTATGCTCATCTGAAGTGTAGGTAGCCATCTCTTTACTGTTTGTGAAATCAGAGTGGACATAAAGGACCCTCTTATTGTCAAGGTTCTTGAGCTCAAGACTGAAGAGCTACAGGCTCGAGGGCAGAGGTCACGGAGGCAGCTCTTGGCACACACAAACATACCTGCTTCTAGACAACACCCAGTCCAGGTTTCTCTTTTTGCAGAAGGGAAACTGAGGCCCACAGAGGGGGAGGGGCAGCCCAAGGTCACTCAGCTGATAGCCCTGGTTCATGTGATCGGACCTCCCAGGGAGCAGGACTTCCTGTTCATTTCAAAAAGCCCAGATTTACTGCTCTTTGTAGGAGCTCTGAAGTAAATGCTGACCTAGGTGTGAGTGCTGGTGTTTCCTTTTACTAGCTGTGTGCCCTTGAGCAAATGTGGCCTCTGCCGGCCTTGCCTTCTCCATCTGTAAAATGGGGTTGTAAGAAGTAATGAGCCGCTAGCGTGTGAAACATCCGCATGTGCCTGGCCACGCAGGTGCTTTATGCTGTGCCCCTCACCCTCAGTCTTAGCTGGGAACTGCTGCTTTCAAAAGATCTGGGTCCAGGCCGGCCCGGTGGCGCACTGGAGAGTGCGCCGCTTGAGAGCACGGCGGCGCTCCCGCCGAGTGGCCACGCAGGTGCTTTATGCTGTGCCCCTCACCCTCAGTCTTAGCTGGGAACTGCTGCTTTCAAAAGATCTGGGTCCGGGCCGGCCCGGTGGCGCACTGGAGAGTGTGCCGCTTGAGAGCACGGCGGCGCTCCCGCCGAGGGTTCAGATCCCATGTGGAGACCGGTTCCCGCTCACTGGCT